GCACTTTGTTCTTCTTCATCCGTCTGTAATAATATCAAGTTAGGAATATATTCGGTACAAGTATCTGGTATAGACATCAAATAAATAGGTACGTAAATCCAAAGTCATTAAAAAATGTTGATGGCACAGACTGTTACGTACATCGATCAAGACACAATATACCCTTGTACTGTTATAGCGACTACAGGGTGTCAAAAGCGAAGCAAACGCTGACTGCGGACCGACTGCGGACGGACGTCTCTGCTGACGCTGTCTTGTTAATTTTTTGAGCTATTTATTTTGATGTTTTCGCTTTTACGCTCTCGTTAAGTCGCCCAGACGCAATGCCAAAGTTCTTTAGTGCCTGCAGAAGAGAGACAACAAGCCAGAAGAAAGGGAGGAAGGAGAGAAGCTAATATTCTGCTGACCGTCGCGAATCTGCCAGGGTGAGTGGGTAGAGCGGAAGAGAGCGGGAGGGTGGGAGAGCGGGAGCGGGAGCGAGCGGCAGCGTTGCCGAGCTTCGTTTGTGTGTGCAGCGTTGCATCACGAGATAGTTACGAGAGATATGCATACGAAATTGGAAATGCTAATTAATATGTTTTGCACAGTAGATACGAGGCGATATCCACGACATCCTCGGCCGCGGCTCCTCTGTTTACATAAGCGTTAACTGCACACAACACCCACACTCTCACACACTCACACAGAACCTCTGGGAGATTATTAAATTAATTTTTATTAGGCGTCAAGCCATAAAGAACAGCACAGCTGAGCCGACGACACTGCCGATGACTCCTTAGATGGACGTCTGGATGGAATGGAATGGAATGAAGTGAAATGAATGAGGGAACGAAATGAAATGAATGAATGGCAAGCTCACATGACAACGCGCTATAATTAAGAACAATGGCAACTTATTCAACGCCGGACCGGACCGGACCGGACCAAGCGAGATGTGCCAGAGTTGATTTGTCAGCGGTGCTCGGTTCTTTCTTTTGACACTTGATGGATTCCATTTCCGTGACATGTCATCGGCAGGGAATGTACGATTAGAATCGTAATTGCAAGAAACCGAGCGGTACAGCAGGCAGTACGTAAGTATGGAAAGTTTGAGTGAGAAATAATTATATTCGTAATGCAGGTATAGCTATACATAGTACATACATAGAAGTTCTGCGGATTCTAGCATCCTGCTGATCAGTATGATATTAGATACAAGATTACCTATGGCAACGCAACAGTGCCTAGGATTGGCTTATGTTTCGCTGGGTTATGCAAGTTCGGGCACCGGCACCTGTTCCCCAATAAAAGGAAACCGAAAAGAAAAGAAACTTCCTAATGCAACCAAAAAGGAAGTAGGTCCTCAAAGATCTTCCCAAGAGATGGCAACAGATGAATTCAATCAGCTAATAGTGATCTTTTCCCTTTGGCAACTCTCAAGAGTTTCCTCTTTCCAATCCACTATTCGCCGGGGTCATTGTCTTTGGACAAATACCTAACAAAATAAAAGAAAAAGCAATTCCAATTACAAGACAACAAACGAAATTTTCGCAAGCAGTGGCAGCTGGCAAAAATATCGTACGGGTATCTACAAAAGAATCATGGCCCATGAGTCATGCGACTGTGACCCAATGAGCAATGTGCACAGCACCCACAATACACAGATACACACACACACACACACACACACAGAGCGATGGCAACACTGCAGTGCACTGGGGAAACTACGTACAAGACAAGCGAAACAATTACAAAGAAATATAATTTGCGCAAATGAAAGAGAAACGAGAACGATCAGTCATTGTAGGGAAATGTTGCCTCAACTTCCCCCAACTGCACCCGACTCGACTCGACTAATCTAATCTAATCAAATCAAATCAATGCTGGTAGGACCGCCTCTCGTATACGGTTACGTTACCGATTCTCTCTCTCTCTCTCTCTCTGTCTCTCCTGTCCCCCGATACTCGTAGAATGTGCAATCGTAAGCCTATTCAGGCTCTACCAGGCACTTCCTGGCTTACACCAACTGGCCTGATCGATCGATCCAGCGATAAAGAACTCCATAAAGCGGAGAGCAGAAAGAAGAAAGATGAAAGAAAGGTACAAGGCAGGAACAAACAATTGAGCGAGGATTGTAACAAAATCCTAGCCGAAAGATATCGCTGCAACAACAGCAGCAGCACCAACACCAATCTGTTTACTTAAGCAGCTGGAGAGGAGTAGGGGCAGGACAGAGACAGGGATAGGGACAGGGACAGGGACAGGGACAGGCGACCCCTGGCAAGACCAAGATGTTTGCACGGTCAACTTTCAACACAATTTGTAGGCTACCTGTAGTTTGCTCATACGGAGGCTGGGTGCGGGTTTCTTGAGAACAGCCACATCCATCCCATCCCATCCCATCCCATCCAAAGAAGCTGCTGGGCTAACTGGCTGACTGATACGCATCGCCTGGGATGTGTTTGGTTAATCAGCACCTGTCCCAACGACTCAACGGGCGTCGTCGACAGGTACAACAACAGCACAGAGAACAGAGAACAGGGCACAGAGCTCTGATCTTCTTTGCTTTAATCGCCCGGATTCCAAACATTTTGGGAAAGTTTGAAAGTGCGGTTACAGCATATGGGCCGATCATGCAAAAATATCTGATTCAAGCACAGGCAGACCCAACTGGAACTCCATCTGGAGCTCAGACCGTTCCTAACCAAAGAATAATGAGTAAGCCTCAAATGCCAGATCTCCCTTCGATCTCGATTGCCCAGCCGGTCCCAAGGCAAAAATATAACCAAAACAAATAAGAACCCATCTGGACTATGAGTTACCCTCAACTCATTAAGCTCATAAAATAAAATCTACTCAAACACACATTTGTTTTACTTATACTGATTTCATTTGATCAGTTGATAATATCCGTATACCTATAGTACATTTAAAATCTCTTATATTACTTAACCCCATATGATCTAAGTGCATCTTTGTTCTAGAATATAGAATATATATTCTTTATTGGAAGGGCAATGGTTTCTTTTACATTTTACACAAAATCTACGTAAGCTTATATACCCTTTGCACTGTCCTCGTACGGGTACGGGGTATTAGAAAACCGAAAAAAACCAACTGTTGCGGCAGCTTTTGCTCTCATAAATCAAGAAAAATCAGTAATTTTTTGTTGTCTGCAAATATGTGTGTGTGTGGCTGATCGCTTATATCAAACTGACATTGGCTGAATTAACAATTGATTTCAATAATTTTTTATGATTATTGCATTTTTTCTCGGGCTTCGATGCGAGCAAAGTAGAGCCGATCGCGCAATTCAGCAAACTCATTCGCTCTCTCTCTTTGCTGAGAGAGCGCGAGCACGCAAGCACTCAATGAGCACGCACACAGCAGCAGCGGAGCATCGAGAGAATCGAAGCGAGGCAAGAACTAGAGCGAGCGATGGGTGCATCGGCAGCGGCGGGGAGCGGGTAAACAAACAAAACTATGCAATGCAAACGCAACGCATAATGGCACAGTGGGATGAATGCCATCGAATGGTGTGCGGTGTGGCAAGGTGTCCTACTGTGTGTGGCAAGGCAGGGTTTGCATAAACAACTGGCCAGATGGAAAGCGGCGGGAAAGAGGAAGTGAGATCAATAGATGGGCAGGTGAACTTTGCTTGGAGAGACAGAAGGTCACATCAAGTAGATCTAATTTTTCAACAAATAACATTAAACAGCGATGGGCAAGAGAGCTGAAAGATACAGAAGACAAAGATAATTTTGTGAATATGAAAAAACTGTTTGATGAATATCTAAAAGAAGTATGGCCACACAAGTATATAAAGGAAAGCAGATAAAATCGCGTCAAGATAAATATAAATATTTTCTATACAAATTATTAAAATTTAATTAGAACTTAGTTTACTTTTTGAATAAAAAAGTCTTGTTATTTTACTTTTAGGCGATTTGACAGAATATCTGATTTGGGTTCTTATTTAAATTTTGATTCTGTAACTTCTCAGTAAGGGGAAATTCATGTATATTTAAATTCTTAAGAATTTTTCAGTTGTATGTTTATGTTACATACTCAAACTTTCCATATATATTTCATATTTGAATGTAACTATGTATGTATGCATGTATTTTTGTGTGTAAGGAACATATTGCTAATTCGATTATCCTTAAAATTTGCTGTAACCTTGACATTTGTTGAAAATATTCTCTCACTTGCCACCTTACCAATGTCTGTGCCCCACTGTGCAGCTCAGTGTGTCTCCCCCTGCTGACGGTTTCGTTGAGCGTCAAAGCAGGCAAACAATTCCAAAGATACATTGACACTCGTCACACCGGTTTTACGAGTTTCTCCCGGCTGAATTGAGTTACTTTTCATATTCAGCAGTGGAAATAGAGAGAGAGGGAGAGAGAGACTGTGCTCACGGCGAGAAACACTCTCCCAGAGATATCAATTCTCACTCATCCGCCAGATACGAAAATACTCGTACCTTGCAGTCTTCTGGTTTACTGATTACTCTCTCTGCCGTCTGCCGCCTGCCGCCTGCCGTCTGAAGTGCTGATGTGCTCGCTGGCCGCTCCGAGAGCGATCAATTGAAAAACTGACTTCGAGCCGAGCGGACGCGCGTTGTCGGAGTAGAAGAGATCGAAAGAAGAAGCAGCCGCGGCATGAACCAGAATCGAGTGCTTGAAAGTTTTTTTTTTGAATGAAATTTATCAAACCTAGACGCTCTATCGCCCCCCACTTGGATTACGGTCAACGCGAGAGCAACAACGAAAAATAGAAAGAAATCAAATGAAAAAATAGAAAAAGGCGAGAAACATAAGAAAATTAAATTAGATAAATCGCCGAGGAAAATTCTGATGTGTTGATGTGAGTGCTGTGCTCGGCCCTCGGAGGCGATTGTGCAAAGATCTATATAAAAATAGAGAAAAGGCAACTTGAAAAATCCCATACAAAATGGGCCACAAATAATCGGGAACCCAAAGACCAAAACACCAAAATCCCCCCACATAACCAGATAATCAACATCCCAGGTTGAGTCCTTGAGTCGAAGGGACCCACTACCATCCATCCATCCATTCTCACACAATGCTGGCCTCCAGCCACATGCTCTACGTCCTCATCGCCAGCTGCGTGATGCCCATCTTTGGGGCCGCTCTGAGCAAGACGGTTCTGTACCAGGCCCCGGACGAGTGCCGCTGGTCCGGCGGCGGAGAGCACGACATCACCCTGGTGTGCCACCTCCGGACGATCAACTCGGAGCTGGAGAACACCAACTTCAGCGTGATCCAGCCCCACAACACGGTGCGTTTGCGGTTGGAGTGCAACGATGCCCTGTTCTTCCAGAGCAGCCTCAGTCCGGACAGCTTTCGGTCGCTGGTGGAGCTCAGGGACCTCACCATTGAGTACTGCAAGCTGGGCAACCTGACCGACGGCTCCTTCCGGGGTCTGCACGAGCTGCGCAACCTCACAATCCGCACGCACAATGGGGACTGGTCCACCATGTCCCTGGAGATGGCATCCAACAGCTTCGTGGACTTCAGACAGCTGGAGAGGCTGGACCTGAGTCTGAACAACATCTGGCTGATACCCGACGGCATGGTGTGCCCGCTGAAGTCGCTGCAGCACCTGAACGCCTCCTACAACAAGATCCAAGACATCAGCAACTTCTACTTCAGCGCCTCGCTGAGCTCGCGAAAGGCGCGGGTGTGCGGCTCGACGCTGCAGAGCCTCGACCTGAGCGCCAACAAGATGGTCAGTCTGCCGTCGGCCATGTTGTCGGCCCTGGGCCGGCTGACCCACTTGAACATGGCACGCAACAGCATGAGTTTTCTGGCGGACCGAGCCTTCGAGGGTCTCGTCTCGCTGCGTGTTGTGGATCTGTCCGCGAATCGACTGACCTCGCTGCCGCCCGAGCTCTTCTCGGAGACCAAGCAGCTGCAGGAGATCCACCTGAGGAACAATTCGATCAACGTGTTGGCGCCCGGGATCTTTGGGGAGCTGGCCGAGCTGCTGGTCCTCGATTTGGCCAGCAACGAGCTCAACTCGCAGTGGATCAACGCGGCCACATTCGTGGGCTTGAAGCGGCTCATGACGCTGGACCTGTCGGCCAACAAGATCAGCCGCCTGGAGTCGCACATCTTCCGGCCCTTGGCCAGCCTGCAGATCCTCAAGCTGGAGGAGAACTACGTCGATCAGTTGCCGGCGGGCATCTTCGCGGACCTCACCAACCTGCACACACTTATCCTGTCCAACAACCGCATCTCGGTTATCGAGCAGCGTACTCTGCAGGGCCTGAACAACCTGCTGGTGCTCTCCCTGGACTACAACCGCATTAATCGGCTGGACCAGCGATCTTTGATCAACTGTAGCCAGCTGCAGGACCTCCACCTCAATGACAACAAGCTGCAGGCGGTCCCGGAGGCCCTGCTGCATGTGCCGCTGCTCAAGACCCTCGACGTGGGCGAGAACATGATAAGCCAGATCGAGAACACGAGCATCACCCAGTTGGAGAATCTGTACGGCCTGCGCATGACGGAGAACTCTCTGACGCACATCCGGCGCGGGGTCTTCGACCGGATGAGCTCTCTGCAGATCCTCAATCTGTCCGGCAACAAACTGAAGACCATCGAGGCGGGCTCGCTGCAGAGAAACACCCAGCTGCAGGCCATCCGGCTGGACGGCAACCAGCTCAAGTCCATTGCAGGCCTCTTCACCGAGCTGCCCAACCTGGTGTGGCTGAACATCTCGGGGAATCGGCTGGAGAAGTTCGACTACTCGCACATACCCATCGGACTGCAGTGGCTGGACGTGCGGGCCAATAGGATCACGCAGCTGGGCAACTACTTCGAGATCGAGAGCGAGCTGAGCCTGAGCACCTTCGACGCCAGCTACAATCTGCTGACGGAGATCACGGCCAGCTCGATCCCCAACAGCGTGGAGGTGCTCTATCTGAACGACAATCAGATCGGCAAGATCCAGCCCTACACGTTCTTCAAGAAGCCCAATCTCACCCGTGTCGATCTCGTGCGCAACAAGCTGACGACACTCGAGCCGAACGCACTGCGGCTCTCGCCGATCGCCGAGGACCGCGAGATACCCGAGTTCTACATCGGCCACAATGCGTACGAGTGCGATTGCAATCTGGATTGGCTGCAGAAGATCAGTCGCGAGTCACGCACCCAGCCACAGCTCATGGACCTCGACCAGATCTACTGCAAGCTGTCCTATGCGCGCGGCGCCACCCATGTCTCCCTCATTGAGGCCAAGTCGAACGACTTCCTATGCAAATACGAGTCGCACTGCTTCGCCCTGTGCCACTGCTGCGACTTCCAGGCCTGCGACTGCAAGATGGAGTGCCCCGACCGCTGCTCCTGCTACCACGACCAGTCGTGGACCTCGAACGTGGTCGACTGCAGTCGCGCCTCCTACGAGCACGCGCTGCCCTCGCACATACCCATGGACGCCACGCAGCTGTACCTGGACGGGAACAACTTCAAGGAGCTGCAGAGCCACGCCTTCATCGGCCGCAAGCGCCTCAAGGTTCTGCATCTCAACCACTCGCGGATCGAGATCCTGCACAATCGCACATTCTACGGGCTCCTGGAACTGGAGGTTCTGCAGCTGCAGAGCAACCAGCTGAAGGTGCTCAATGGCAACGAGTTCCAGGGCCTGGACAACCTCCAGGAGCTCTACTTGCAGCACAACGCGATAGCCACCATAGACACGCTCACATTCACGCATCTGTACCATCTGAAGATCCTGAGGCTGGACCACAATGCCATCGGCTCCTTCGCCGTGTGGAACTTCCTGCCCAGCTACCTCAACGAGCTGCACCTGGCCGGCAATCACTGGAGCTGCAACTGCGAGTTCATCGACAAGCTGCGGGATTACATAAGCCGGCACGACTACGTTGTGGACCGTCCGAAGCTGCGCTGCGAGTCAGGGGGGAACAGCTCCCAGCAGATGGCCATATACGCCAGCACGGACTCCGCCCTGCCCGTCGTGCAGTGCAGCCAGACCCTGCCCCTGGGGCTGGACAACAGCTACAACTTTGCCGAGCAGGCGGGCGGGGAGGGCGGAGCCCTGTCCGGCAACATGACGTCCACAAAGATGATACTCAACCAGCCGCCCAAGCAGGACTACATCCCCATTCTGGTGGCCATTCTCACGGCCTTCATCTTCATCATGATCTGCACCCTGCTGGTGTTCATCTTCCGCCAGGAGATGCGCGTCTGGTGCCACTCTCGGTTCGGGGTGCGGCTCTTCTACAACGGCCAGAAGGATGTGGACAAAAACGAGCGCGAGAAGCTCTTCGACGCCTTCATCTCGTACTCCTCCAAGGACGAGCTGTTCGTCAACGAGGAGCTGGCCCCAATGCTGGAAATGGGTGAGCACCGCTACAAACTCTGTCTGCACCAGCGGGACTTCCCCGTGGGCGGCTACCTGCCCGAAACCATTGTTCAGGCCATCGACAGCAGCCGGCGCACCATCATGGTCGTCAGCGAGAACTTCATCAAGTCTGAGTGGTGCCGCTTCGAGTTCAAGTCCGCCCATCAGTCGGTTCTGCGAGATCGCCGCCGCCGCCTGATTGTCATTGTGCTTGGGGAGGTGCCCCAAAAGGAGCTGGACCCCGATCTGCGCCTGTATCTGAAGACCAACACCTATCTGCAGTGGGGCGACAAGCTCTTCTGGCAGAAGCTGCGCTTCGCCCTGCCAGACGTCTCATCCGCCGCACAGCGCTCCGTCGCAGGACAGTCCTGCCACGTGCCCATCAACCATGCTGCCTACCATCATCACCACCATGTGCACCAGCAGGCCCTTCCGCTGCCCCTGCCCCATCCCCATCCCCATTCCGGCCACCATCATCAGCAGCAGCAGCAGCAACAGCAGCAGCAGCAGTTTATGCTTCCGCCTCCCCCCCAGCAGCCCGGCAGCTTTCGCCGCCAGCCGTCGATCCATCAGCAGCAGCAGCAGCAACAGCAACAGCAGCAGCAGCAGCAGCAGCATCAACAGCAGCAGCAGCAGCAGGCAGCCTTGCTGATGGGCGGAGTGCAGGTGGGTGGACCTGCCCCACCACAGATGATCCCCCTGGCGGGTGGAATCCAGCAGCAGAGTCTGCCGCTGCCACCAACGCAGCCCACGCCGGCTTCGCGCAATCTTCACATGTGAGTGGGTGAGAGATGGAGAGAGATAGAGATGAACGGAGAAAAATAGCTGAAATAACTGGAGATGAAGCGAGAGTTGTGTAGAGAATAGTCCTACTCGAACCACTTCTAACACTGGGCTTAATTTATGTCTTTTTTTTAATGTAATTTCGAGCCACAGAAATCAGGAAAGGTACTGAAAGATACTCCTTTGAGTTGGAAAAGTGATTGTGGCGAAGCATTAGAATGGCCCCACCTCACAGACAGATCTGTATTAAAACTGGTTAAAATTGTATTGTGGAGTGGAGTTACAGCAGGTCTGAAATGAAATGGGAATTGCATTCAATATGCAAATGGTAGCGTTTAGCGATAAAAGCCTAGTTACCGGCTGGAATAGAAAAGTAAGAGAAAATTGAGTGCGGAGAGAGCAGGAGCAGCAGCAAGAGTGCAACAGCAACATGCAACAGCTATAACAACAACAAAAGACAACAGTAAAATACCAAGCCTCTCTGAGGCAGTTCGTCCCCGTCCCCTTTCCCGCCCCCTTTCCCGTACCCAATCCCAGAGCCAATTGTTGTTCTCTGGCCCTGTTCGGTTCTCGGTTCTTGGTTCTGTGCTGTTTTCTTACGGCCAGCTATTTTCAGTTTCCTGGCTCGTAGCTAGATTCAGAAAATTGATGTTGCATGCAGCACAAGCACACCAGCAAAAACTAGAACCACAACAACAACAACAACAACCAGTCAGTCAGCAGCAGCAGCACCAGTAGGAACAAAAGCAGCCACACAGCTACACAGCCGCATAGCCAATACCCAAAAGTATTTCTCTCCGTTTCTGTGTGTTTCCCTTAGCCTTCTCCTTTATTTTGTTCCGTCTTCTCCGTCTTCTACGTTTTCCATTTTCTCTGTTTGCAACGCTCGCTGCTTAGTTCATCTTAACTGCTGCATTTTGCCATAACAAGCTCAACGTGTGTAGAAAATATCCATGCATCTGTAGTTGCACTGCTACGAGGGCCTGTATCTGTATCTGTATCTGTACCTGTCCGTCTCAGAGTCGCACAGTCGCAGAGTCTCAGAGTGTGTAGCGGAGAAAATAGGCAACGCAAAACATCAGAGAATTCATGTCTGGCCAAAAGAAATTGTAACAAAAGCAGGGCCAGGGCCAGAGTCAGAGCCAGGGCCAGGGCAGCCAGTTCTCCCAGACATCAGACATCAGAGGACACACAGAACAGAAAAGAGCAGAAAAGAACAGACCAGACCAGACCAGACCAGGCCAAGACCGTCTAGAAACAGTTGTTATTCCTCTCGTAGGTGCCCCGGCAGCTGGCTTGAAATTGGGTTTTTTTTTTGGGCCGCAATTATATGTGCTAATCAATGACAGGGAAAGGAGAGGCAGCAATGCAACAAATTTCAGTACGTGGGATACAGATAAAGATACACAATTGTTTGGGGATAAGAATCAGAAACATGTGTGGAGAGTAGAAGCGTGTATTCCCTTGGAACATTAGAACAGAGCTCTTCCTCCGCCCACTCAATCTCCATCTCCCCTTAAAAGCTCTTCAGGTCACGCAATGTCTAGATTTGATTAGAAATCAAAGAGCAGTTTTTTCTCCATGCTAGTCAAAGATTTTAAAGAAGAAGCTGTGCGCACTCGTAGTCACAAAGTCGAATCCAAGCTAGAATTTGCTGGAGGAAAACCTCAATTTGTGACCTTGCTGGGAGAAGAAGTTGTCCTCCAATCTGTTTCCCAGAAAGAAAGAACGAAAAAAAGAAAGAACCAAAAACCGAGTGGGTGGAGAGAGATCAGCACGTGTGCTGTTTTGGCCCCCAAAGTTGTGCCCGAGCCAACATCAGAGATAGCCACGAAGGAGGGAAAAAAGAAGGAAAAAACACTACAGAACCGAATGGAAGCGATTAAAATCTACCTTGTTTGCCGTTGTTTGTTACGCCTGTTTCCTGTTCACTCTCTCTCCATATCCATCCACCTACAACTATCTCTGATTCCACTCCAATTGAAAACTGCATTCCAAAAACAAAAAACAAAAAAACCAGAAAACCAGAAAACTAGTTAACACAGCAGCAGCAACAACAACAACAGTAACAACACTCTCTAGAAGGATTCACATTCTGTTAAGAGTTTAAAATCTAAAATTGTACATACTAGACCTTACTTGTTTAATCATTGTGATATTTTTTTTTTTGTTTTAGCCCTAAGCTCTAATTTATATTATGCGAATACCATTTTCCTACCAATCTACGTTTGTATGTATTGTATGTATATTTAAAGGAAACTTATCCTCATTAGATAGTCTAGACCATAAGATGATAACCGAAACGAGAATGAAATGAAAGAGAAATCGAATCCGAATCCATATCTATATCCACCCCGCCTACAAAAAATACAGCCATATTAATTCTATTAAATTGAGAAATTATTGTACATATATACAAAATGAGGAATGAAAAATGACAAAAAAAATAAAATAAACGGATTGTATGAAGAAAACAAATAAATAGAAATAAAAATAAAAACGAACAAACATAGGTCGACTGATTACATGTGTACTATATATAAATATGCATAAGTTTTAAGTACGATTTACTCGCCTATTGTTGTTAATACTTTAACTATCCAGAAAACAGACAAATGTATGTATTTTTTTTTTTTAGTAATTTTATGTTTTTTTTTTTTTTGTTAGTTTATAGCTAAAATATGAATTGGAAAATTAAAACTGATACAAATATATAAACGACAAAAAATTGATAATTAATTCGACTCTTTTTATTCACTCAACCGCATTCCTCATCGTCTGCCGAATATTTGTTTTTGTTATCAATGTTTTTTTAGCATGCTGCTGATAAGCCACAAACTACGAGTACCTTGCCCTTGCCTTGACATTTAATACAGCCAGGGATTGGCGTCTGGCTTGGACTGGCCCTCGTTCTGCTTATGTCAGGGCGGAGTGGTGTTCTATTACGTGCCGCGAGCAAATTTGCAAAATAAGTAATGCTCTGTCGGGGCTCCGAGCGGGGGCTGGTAACGGGTATCGAGAATCGGAGATAAGAGTGTTCTATTTGCTCGATTCTTTGGGAAAGTGTATTGTGTTCAAGCAGAGATTTCTACGCCCGAAAAGTGTTCAGCCTACCCTCGCCACACGCACGCGGAGCAAAGGCAAACCCATCCATCCATCCATCCCACGATTGCTCCATTTGAATTAATTTTAAGCACAAATAAACCTTCTACGTCCCCTCTCCATCCACTCCATCCACTCCAACGACCGAACGACTTCATATTTTGCCAGCCTAAGATGCGACAATATCTTCCCATGCATATTTTATAGATACATATAGCAATCGTATCTCTCTTTTGGTATCGTTTACGAGTATTTCTGGTAGTGTTGTTGTTGTTATTCTGGTGAATGAAAGGAGAGGAGAGCAGAGCAGAGCCCAGAGCCCAGAGCGATATACTACTATACGTGTACAATATTTCGCTGATTCCGCTGGCCGGACGTCTGAGAAACACTTCAGCTCGAAATGAATGAATAATTTTTATGATCAATTAAATGCGCAATAAAATTGATGGGGGCCCCACCAAAACATAAATTCACATTGCTTAAATTAGCAAATTTTACAATCAATCATTAGCGAGCCAACGAGCTAGCCAACAGCCTTTGATGTGCAACGGCCTGGCAGAGACAGAGAGAGAGAGGGGAGAGTATCTTGTAGACAGCCCTACCACCAGAGAAGAAGTTCAAGCTCGGGCTAAACCTTTTTCAATATTTTCGTTTTTTTTGGTTCGATTCTTAACGGTTCGGGGAGGAAATTGGGAAGGCTTTGCGCAAAAAGAAAGAAACACGTCAAATATAAAAAACTTTTCCTTGCTTTTACTTTCTCTTGGTACCCATTGGCCCTACTCTTGGCCTGCTGTCCTTTTTTTATTTCCCCCCCTTTTTTTGTATTTTATCAATTTTGCCTGTGGGATTTGTTATAAAGTAACGGAAGAGTTAAGGCGGTGGTGGTGGTGGTGGGAAGACGTTGAGAGCCGGGGCAGACTTTGGCAATCCACGAGGCAAACTTTCAATTGAATTTGTATACACTATCTGAGGGTATTGATATGTTGTTGACCAGCTGGTTGCCACACTAGAAAGGAGCATTACCGATCCTTAGTGTAAACCGCTCGATCAGAATAGTATGTATAAGAAACCACTCACAGGAAGTCCTTGTAAAGACAGTTGGACATTAGTGATATGGTAACCGATAGAAGCGGCTGCTTAAGGAGAGTGGCTCCCGAATCAGTCATCCTTTATTGTTTTTTTTTTTGTTCTGCTTCAGTGCGGTTAGGGAAAGTTTAGAGGCCTTCTTTTGCAGGGTGGGCGGGGTAAGCCTTCTGTTTTGGGAGGGCAGGGCTGCGAGGCCAAACAAAGCCAAGGAATCGGCATAAATATTTCGGGTTACAAGTCAGTTTAGTGTCGAAAAACGGCCTTTTATTTATAGATTGCCGTGCCACGGACTGTAATCTGCCAGAACTTTCGCCAACGTGCATAGGCCTTGCCAGGTTTTTCCAGGGGTGCGGAGCTGGATTACCTGTGTAGGGCAATTATAATTTAATTTTACAAATTTCTGAATTTATTTTTGATTTATTAATACTTACAGATTTGATTTTACCAATAAATAAATCTGGAAAAGGGGCAACTTTATCGCAAAAATTATGCCTTGTTTTAGGCGAACCGTTTTACCAACTGAACCGCTCCTGCGCTGCCTGCGCCTTCCAGTCACACCGAAAGAAAACCTTCATCAAATTTTCTCCGACTGCAGCTTAGAACTTTTTATTCGACCTGTCTTGCAGTGTTTCTTAGCTCCTGGGCTCAAAGTCAAATCAAAGTACTTTGCCCCCTCTAGGGCTCGGTGCTAATGCCTAAACCATCAGGCTGAACTTTTTACCATCCATCAAAGGGATACTCGGAAGGGAAAGTGAAAGGAGGTGTTGGAGAGACGGAGACCTTGCCAAAATAAAAACGAGGGGGAACGTTGTGAGTTGCTGCGGACACCGCAACTCTACAGATATACCCGATACTAAGTCAGTATGGCTCTCCTCCGGCAGCGCCGCTAATATTAAACGACACGACAAAGAGTGCGTGCGAGAGAGACAGAAAATCAGTCTGAGCGTGACGTCGGGCGCTGCGTAGCCACTGCAAATTGATTTGTTCCTTTTGGCTAAAAAAATGGTCTGATCTGATCCAGATTCAGCAATCTAATAGATATGGTCATTATCTATGATTCTGCGTTTTTAGTTTTCTCAAATCTGCAATATTGTGGATGCAACAGATTTTCGTCCTTTGTGGGGGCGGATGGGGGTGGGGCGAAATTCTGAGATATACGTTTTATAGTGACATCTTAAAGGAGTGTGTGCACCAAATTTGGTTACTCTAGCCTTAATAGTCTCTGAGATTTGTGGTTGCCTCAGATTTTCGTCCTTTGCGGGGGCGGAAGGGGGTGTGGCGAAATTTGGACAGGAAACGGTCAAGGTCCGATATCACAGGAGTGTGGATACCAAATTTGGTTGCTCTGGCTTTTATAGGTTCTGAGATCCTTGAACTCATATTTTGCAATTGGCAAAACCGACCATGAAACCTGTGTGTTAGAGTGAGACAGAGCGAGAAAGAGTGAAATTGTTTTCGTGATTCTGGCTGTAATAATTATACGATCTGGTTCAGATTTTGCACTCTAGAAGATATAGTCATCTTCTACGATTCTGCGTTTTTAGTTTTCTCGTATCGTCGAAATTGTGGATGCCACAGATTTTCGCCCTTTGTGGGGGCGGAAGTGGGCGGGGCAAAGTTTTGAAATATTTTTGGAGCAGTGACATATCACAGAAGTCTGGATCCAAAACATAGTTGCTCTAGCTCTTATAGTCTTTGAGCATTAGGCGCTGAAGGGGACGGACAGACGGACAGACGGACAGACGGACGGACGGACAGACAGACAGGGCTCAATCGACTCGGCTATTGATGCTGATCAAGAATATATATACTTTATAGGGTCGGAAACGATTCCTTCTGGACGTTACACACATCCACTTTTACCACAAATCTAATATACCCCAATACTCATTTTGAGTATCGGGTATAAAAATCAATCGGAGAATTATAAATCAGCCACAGCAGCGGCACACTGGGCACAAAAATACGTATTGTATATGTATTTTCGATGTGCATCTTGGCAGGCCGTCAATTAGGCAGCCCCCCCGTCATTGCACCCACCAATTGCCTCATTAGACTCCAAACGAATCGGGAGTCATGAGAGTCACGGAGGAGAATGGCATCCAATAGTCCGGCATGGCCCGCTCGGGCTCGGGTGTATAAATAAATATGCTTTTATTGGAAGACGACTACAACTGTTTGCAATAAAAGCAACATTTTTCTTAATTTCCATTTCTTGCTAATTTACCAGCCATAAATTGCCCGCCCGTCTACCGTATACCCCGTGGGCAGGGGCACACTAGGGGTGGCGGCGGTGGTGGTGGTGCAGAGAGGTGCTGAGGGGCAGATTACTGAACCGAACCGAACCGAACCGTACAAAGAGCAGAACCGATCGACGGTAGACACATAAAATTGACTACAAATTATTGCACATTGTCAAAACAACATTGGTTTGCAATTTTCGCGCTTCAACGCAGATGCAAAGAGATAGTCACCAGGTAGTAGGATCAACTCTGGGAAAGAGTATTCCGGAGCCACGAGTACTTACGGCTTACCATGGACTGAAATGAGTTTGAAATGGGAATGGATCGTAGTTAGAGAAAGTTAGAGGAGTTGTGTCGATCATTCGTATCATTCCCACACGTGAACGTAAGAGATATTCTCATACATGTTTATTAGAACAAGAATATAGTGCTATATCTTTACACGAGAGGGCAAGTCCCTGCGCACTTGCTTCGTTCGTGGGCCAACCCCCGACTCACTCGCTTTCCTCGTTCGGCTCATTTGCTTCGCTTGTGTAGCGCCAATATGAGTAAAAGATCGGACGACGACGGCCCAACAAATTTGTATAGTATAAAGATGTATAGGATTCCCTTGCAAGCCCGCATTCTATCTAAACCCAGTCATCCCCATTTATATCCGGATTTCGATCACATCCGCTCGATAGAGCATACAGCTATCGGCTAATGAATCTACGGTTTTTTACTATACATTTTTACAGTTACCGTCTATAATTTGCGCTGCAGAGTTTCAGATGCAACTGTGAAATGGCAAATGGGCTTAGGTTTATTATCGACGACTAGCCTCGTCATAATCATCACCACATCCAATATGAGCGTTGGAAGAGGAAAGGACTGCATACCTATGTGTGTGTGTGTATATACGATGGGGAGACGACATTGACATATTGCTGGCCGATTAATGAGCCCACAAGAATGGGCATGGCCATGGCCTGGCCCGGGCTGGTCTCGGTCTCGGTCGGAGTATCGTTGATGGTTTTCATTG